ACTAAAGTTGAAGTCCATGTTCGGGAATATCGATGGATACAAGGACGGATATTGTGGCCTTGACCCAAAGTAGTTGTGGCTGGGTATCGCCTGGCTTGGGTCAAAGGCTAGCCCGCTTGACGCAGACGGATGAGTCTGCGTTGCAGGTGTCACTATGGTCGTTGGACCAATAGTGGCTGATGTGGTGACCGGGATTGGTGGTGGCGGCAGCGTTACTGTCGCCGTTGATGTTCCTCGGTCCACCGGGCTGGGAGGCGCAGGTATGGTTGGCCCCGTTGGGGGTTGTCCAACCGATGGTCCTTCCACAGCCATGTTAACATTATAGTTTTGCTGGTGATACACTGGCTCTCGGTAGAAGCGTTGGCCCTGCCGCAAAGCCTCGTCGACTTTTTCTTGTCGACGTTGTGTATCCGAGTCCGGAAAGGTATGGTAGGACGGTGGTTCCGCGGACATCTCAGAGTGTAAGTTCTCGAGATGTGATTTTTCCGCATCTAAGCAGGCGTTCTCCGTGCTTAGCCTTTCCAGGTCCTCGTTGAGTTCGGTGATACGTTGGGTGGCCGCTTGGTAATCTTTGACCAGGCCGGCGTTGTTGGCCTCCAATGTAATGATCCGGTCCTGTTGGCCCTGGATCACCTGTTTGGCTTGGGCGAAGGCCTGCTCCAGTTGGACAAAGTTTTGATGTCCAATGGTGCTATTTTGCTCAAGTTGTGCCCGAATGGTCGCTTCGGTATTGAGCTGGCTCTGGAGGGCAACAATCTGTTGTTGGAGTTGCACGTTTTGTGCCTCCTTCTGTTGAACCGTTTGGCTCATCAGTCCTCCTTGCTGAATCGTCTTCATGAGATTTTGGTGGCTCTCATAAAGAAGATTATAGCCGTTCCGCAGGCGGTTGATTTCGTCCTGCAGGTTGGCCATGTCGTCGGTTAGACGATCATTATCATTCTGAAGGCGGTCCGCCTCAGAATCGGTTTCGTCAATGGTGGTCCGGGCCGCAGTCAAGTCGTCCTTGGCTTTGGCCAGCTCAGTCCTCGTAGAGGTGAGCAATGCTTCAAGTCCCGCCACAGCCATTTCTAGGCTGTGGATTGTCCTGTTGAGCTGGTCTCGCTCAGCATTGGGACATGGTGACAACTTGAGCTGAGTTAGCTCAAGTTGGGTCTGGGCCAGTATGGCCGAGACACGTTTAGCCTCTGCGTCCGATTTGGACGAGAGGTCCTTGTGTTTGCAGATCTCGTCCTGCATCCAACGTTCGGATGACAGGGCTGCTTCTGCAATGTCCGCCAGCTGTTTAGTCAGGTCCCGTACTGTGGTCCGAAGTTGGTCGACTTCGTCGATCTCCTCGGGCCGGGTTGCCTGGATCAGCTTTGGCGGGCTGACGCTGGCGCTGTGTGTGTCCCAGGTGGGCTGATTAAGGTCCATCCTGGCTGTGGCCCTGTTTAATTGTGCCAGGTCCACAAATGGCTCTTGGTCCGGTTTGGACGGGCCAGACGCGCCGATGACGTCATTGGTCGGCGATGGCGTTGTTTGTGTAGAGCCATCGATGTCGAACATGATGGGCGACTGACTCATGGGCTGTTGGCCCTGGTCGTCTGCCTTTGGACCAGCCTTTTTGGCTTGGCCCTTGGCCTTGCGTCCACCTTTGGCCACCGTTGGTGCCTCAGGTTGGATCTGGTCCGAACCTGGTAGGGTTGGACTTGTTATCAGATCCTGGACGTCAAGGTTGGACCGGGCCAAGTTGTTTGGCCCTGGTCCATCGGTGCGTGTCTTTCCTCACTTGTGGCCGCCGTTGGCGCCTCAAGTTGGACTTGGCCCGGACCAGGTATGGCCGGTTGTTGTGCCAAGTCCCGAGGGACACTGTTGGCCTGGGCCGTCCCATCGGCGCCAGGTTGGCTGTCCTGAGGCTGGTTAGCCTCGGACAACTCATCGGATGCCTCCTGGAATGTGTCGTCCCGGGTGGCGTCCAAGCTTTCGTCGCTTGTCTCCAAGTCGACTGGCAGGATTTGTTTGTCCCGCCTGGCTTTGGCCTCGACCGAACTCGTTGAGCCGGCCGAGTTTGGCTCTTCTGGGTCGGAACTGGTTTGCCTGGCGCTACGGAGCCCGTAGGGCCCCGTTGGTTGGCGCGTGGCGTAGTTCTTTCCGAGAGGCCTAGTGTATTCGTTTGGCTGGCGCCCGTCCATAGGACTGAGCAATCTCCGTTGGAGTTGCTCATGGCTGGTGTATGGCATCACCTTGGCCAAGGCGCTTTCAGTTTGGCCCATGGTATTGGGACTTAGAAGGTTTCTTTGGTTATGGTCCGGACCGGAACGGGTTGGGTCGCTGTCGGTGCTGGTCAGGTACGCTAGAGCTCAGGTTTAGCGTTAGCTTCCTATGGCCCTATGTTACGTTACTGACCAGTGTGACGTCACGTACAAAATGGTCTTGCAAAAAGCTCTACGTCACGAGTAGCGTGCCGTGAGCAAAAATGCAAAAAAGTATGAGTCACTACGACTGTTATAACACAGGGAAGTTTCCCACGTGTTCTGATTGGTCAGAATTTTATGGAAAATAACCACGCTGACGTCACGCGACTTTTTCGCGAAAATTCCGGCTGGACAAAATGGCGATTATTTTTCGCCGATAATTCGGTAAAAATCAAAGAAAATTTTCTCGAGAGTTCTGTTCTATTTTTCTAGGACAGAATTTTACGAGGAATCCAAAAAAGCTATCTTTAGGCTGATCGGATGTAAGGTTCAAAAGTTATCGAATTTTAAAGTTAAGGTTCTACGAAAAACCACGAAATTTCCGAAAGTTCTCCGAGAAACCCTACGCGTCACAGCAGGTCTTACCGGCGGTTATTCGCTCCAGACAATGCTGCTCCGTCGTTCCACTTCACCCCTTCTTCCGTGAGGGCCAAGCGCACCCGATAGGGCGTAATGGTGTGACAGGACCGTACCGAACGCAGTTTTTGCGTCGGGAGCCAAAGCTGCGGGAGGCCCACTTATGAGCCTGACCCGTATGAACGCGACCCGGTAGGGCGCTTATTTGGTCAGCAGGATCGTACCCAACGCAGTTTTTGCGCGGGGAGCCAAAGCTGCGGGAGGTCCACTTATGAACCTGACCCGTATGAATAATCCGTCGCGCTGCAGGTTTCCAATGAAACCTGTATGATGCAGGAGATGATGGTCGCGGGATGGCTGGCCTACTTATAGGCGATCAGCGTAGTTCGACCGATATGGTGCCTTCACTGGGATCAGAGGTTCCAGGAAAGAAAACCGAACGATACTGCTACCATGTCAGATGGGACACGGAAGCAGAGCAAAAATATGGGGCAAATATCCCTTTATTGTGATAACAATAAAGCAACCACAAACAAACACAGAAATGCCAATGCGGCGTATGCTGTGAAAAGTAGCTGCGAGCGCGCAAGTCAGTAAAAATGTAATGATGCAGCGTGCTGCAGGTATGCAACAGCTGATGCCGTAAAGCATGGTATCGCTCGTAGGCGCTGGGCTACGCCCCCAAGAGTGCAGAAATGCGCTGATTGGTCAGCGTAGACAAAGTATACGCTGAGTGAGCAGCGTAATAGCGCGGCACGAATGGAGTAGCCGTGCGCGGGCGGGCGACAGAGCAAAGCCACAAGAGGTGTCTACCGCCTCGAGTGTGCGGTCTCTGACATGCCTGAATACAGAATGCTCGCATTATGCACTGTTTATGGCATCGTCAACCGGCTAAAATGCAATCATCGGAGCGCATCCGTACCTCTTGCGGGATACGACCAGGTGACGCCGCTCACTACTGCTGGGCCGATGGCAGAACTATTCCAAATTTATTGTTCTAACATTTTGCAATAATACGGGTTAAAAACATAATGCAAATAAGCATTTACGTTTTGATCATACTTGTACGCTTCAGAAGACGCTTGTGCTTCCTGCCGTTTTCTTTTATCTATACTTTACTGTGGTCTGCGTTCGCCCCCGCCGGACCAGCAACCAGTCAGCCACGAACTGAATATTCTCCAACGGAAACTTAATTCTCCAACGGGAACGCATTCAGAAAATAATACTTATTTGCTGTAGTTTCATTTAGAGCGTTTTTCGCAGCAACCTTATTTTCTTTTTTAGACTAATTGCTGTATGTTTACGAACAAAATTTGGATGCACGATTTAATCAACAACCGTTAAAATTTTTGCAGCAGAATTATTTTTCACCAGCAAGAAAAAGGCCAGTTAAATGGGTTAGATTCAGAGGGACGCAGGAATCTGGGTATTGCGACACGCGACACGCCCCCCTTTTAAGTGGTCCCTCTGTTACAGTTATGTGTGTGTGTGAACCAGACTTGGGCCACCTTTGCGTTTTCCACCTTCCACCCACCCCACCTAACCCCACAAATTTTCCGCTCCACCCCACCCCACCACGCTAAAAAAATGGCCCACCTCCGCCCGCCAACGATAAATGCTTCCACTGTCCACCCGCCCGCCCACTGGCTTTAAAAAAATTTCGTCAGTTTTTATTGCGTGTTTGGCTCGTGTTGCACTTCAAAAATAGTACAGAAATCACGTGATAAAAAAATTATTTAATTTTTCGCGTGCTCAGGTCACCAAAGTGACACTGATGTCATCAAAACCGCGCGGAGCGCGGAATTTTTTTCCCGAGTTGTGGCTGAAAAACAATATAATTTGATTTGGCGGGGCCCGTTATCCTCCCACTTTTGAATTTTTCCCACCTCCGCCCGCGCTCGTATTTTCCACCCCGCCACCGCCCACCACCTTCAAACTTTCCACCCACCTCCGCCCTCCAAAAAAGGTGGAGGTGGGCGGAAAAGGTGGGATTTTTCCCACTCCACCAAAACGGTGGCCCAAGTCTGGTGTGAACTGGTGTAAATTGGGAAATGTTGAACGCTGACATGTGTCACTTGCTGTGTAAAAATTTTTTTCCTGTTTTTTTGTTGTTTTTGTGATGGCTTGGGGCCATTTCCGGCCATGTTCGGTATACAGTAATTGCCAAAAGGAAGTTAATTCCGAGCCCACCTTCGTTCTCGCGTGGCGTGTAGGAGCAATTGTTATAACTGCACGATCAAATTTTGTCCAGGATAAATCATCTCAGGATTTTCAATATTATTAACCACAACGAGCTGCTGCCCGTTTATCCCCTTCTTCTGAGCAATTCTGGCTACGGCGTCCCACTTTGTACAACGTACCTGCGAACTAAAACCAAAACTCAGACTCAAGCTTTCAGTACGTAAACGAATGTGTTCGTACTTACATTCGGGAAAAAACCGAAACAAATGCACCACAATTTCCACATCCTCCATATCGCCCGCTTCGTTATCTTTATACATAAACGCATAAACTCATCGTTACAGGTTGCGTTTTCTGTGGAATACTCTGCGCATTCCCGGTATAACTCCATATCTTAAACAATAAATCCCGGTGGCTACTCTGATGATTGTGCTGCGATGAAAACGTCACGTTCCCCGGCTTCCATTCGTATGTCTAGGTTGTGTACGTCGCAACAAGGAAAAACGAGAAAGCGTGCTGCTTATCCGCACCGCTTGAAAAGGGCGCTGGCAGACGCCGACTGGTGACCCCGTAACTAGCAATCGGAGCATCGGCGTTACCCCACCGCGAAAACTGAATACCAATACGCGGATGAGGGTCCATTTGGCTGTATTGTTGTTGCGTTGTTGCAAAGAAATTGTTGCGTTTCGTCAGACGGAGATGGAGACGACCGTCTAAGACTTGGATATTGTTGACACCGGTGTCGGACATTTCCATCATCGTCCACATTAGGTCTGAGAAATGTATCGTCGCTGGACTTTTCTTCGAAGTTGCAGCGGTTGCCGCCGTAGTTGTCGAAACAGTATTTGCGCTATCACTAACAATTGTTGTCTGGTAGCCTGGTTTCCAGTGTTGCTGTTCCCGTCGCAGTGCAACTGCGATCTCCGCTCCACTCTTTCAAAGTTGTCATCGATACAACCGTAAGCCTTCTGTAGCTTCGCGACATCCAGGGCGCTCAGCTATTTGCGCTGACCCATTCTCACGGGCGAACGAATCTTGGGAATGATGGCCGGTTTGTCGCGGCTCTTGGCGAAATTCCACGCTGCATGGTGCAGAATGGATTCGTAGTCGTACTGGAGACCGTGGGTGGGCATATGTGGCAAGATACCGTAGTTCAGTTCGTACATGTTGGGCTGAATGTTTTCGGTGAATACTTGGACGAACTCATCACGGTCAGGTCGGTTCTGTTCGTGGTAGAAGCCGAGCGCATGCAGAAGTTCGTGCAGAATGATTCCGTCTTTCATACAGCCGCTTCCCAGTCGGATTTCCGTTGTTCGTCCAGGTATTATACCGACGTGCGACATGCACCTACAAGTTACAATCAAACACAATAGATTATCACGTCTCTTACTGACTATAGTTTTTTATTTTTAGCACGACTGTTAAAGAACATGCAATCAATTATCGAGGTGCAATGATTTCTGTGAGCACTGCTGACCTGATGCAATCTATAGTTTTCAACCGGCTGCAATAAAGAGTCGCCGTAAATGAAGCTTTACTGACCCTCGCCCAGCGGGAACGATAGATATGTATTCGGTTTCCTCCGTTTGGATCTTGAAAGACAAGCAGTGATCTGTGCGTCGCTCGATGGTGTTCATGGCGTTACGGATACGCTGCTTGGTTTCTTCGTCTGTAAATATTTACCTAATTGAACCACATAATTTCACGAAACAACTGCTAATAGTTTCACTAAAATAATAATTCCATGATTTATATAAGCGAAAAAGTGGGAAATAAGAATGCACTACACTAAGTAAATTGAATATTGGTACACTGCTGCATTAAATATTGGTCAAAAACAGTTACTGTACCGAATGCCGGGTGTAGACGATATGGAATGCACTGTCCGCTGTTAGGCCAGTAATTGCTACCCGACACAATGTGACCGCTTCCCGGTTCCTCTGCGGCCAACATCGGGTATCCCGGTGTGGCTGCATCTTCCCAGATAATATCGGCTCTGGTCAGTGCTTCTTCCGATTCGCTGACCGATGGGTGAATTCGATGTCGCCATTCTGCGCCGAGAACATGTCATATTCGAAATTGTTGGGTAATGCCATTCGAAGAGTGCTGCCAACCTGATGGTAATTCTGCGCAGTTAATCTGTTTCAAATGTAACAGGCAATGCGCAATAAGCAGAGCACTGAACACCAGTCGTAGAACATTCGTGCTGAACATTGCGGTGGTCGCAGTTTCACTCGCAACAAAAATACTGCTGCTGAAGTTACCCAATTAACATAAATATGGTTGAACGGACAATAAGATGCTGGGAGCTTAGGTCAATATAAGTACAGCTGCTGGACACGAGTAGTAGAGTAATTATTTGATTTTGGTTAAACCGGTCAGACGACAAACAACTGCACTATGACTGTGTGTCCTGGCAGTATTGAGTGAGTCCAGAAAACAACCACTATCTGATCCCAACCGCTACGGTATATTGGTTGTATCACGCAGGTGTCATCTGAAGTCTAAAGTATTCTGATAAATCTGCGTGCTCTCTCTAACTGCGTCCATGTACTCGTAATTTTGACAGCTTCTCCCTGCTTCACAAGGTTGTAGGAACAGATAAGCAACAACAAAGTCGGATAAATCACAGTACCAACATAGTGCAGTTAGTCGGCGTCACTGCAGTCGGAGTAACGCAAATCGGCAAAGGCATAGTGGAAAACGTAGCGACACTAGGTAGAATGCAATGCGTACAGGCTAATGCAGTACCAAAAGAAAACTTCATTCAACAGATCTTCCTCGTGTAACCAGTAAATTTTTCACAGTGCTGCCTGCGACCAACAGCGCGAATCCAGAACGCAACAGAAAGTACGTAGTAGTCGAGTAAGCACCGGTACTTACATACTTCTCACAGTTAACTCACACTTGTATCAAGATGTTACCGATAAGACCATAGACGATTAAAGACTTGCAATCAGTTCTGCTAATCGTGTCTGAAGACTTGCCAACATACAGACTAAAAGTGAAATAAACCTGGTAGGGCAGTTCTTTGCAAACCATTCAGGTTTGGCGTGTAATAAGGAGCGTGAAAGTACGAGTGCTTAATAACCTTTTTTTAAAAAAATGTTCGCACACAGTGCTCCGTTAATCCTTAGTTTACGCGCCTTATGCTTGTACACTTATTTTATACAGAGTTACTGCGCGGATTTACCGACAGGTGTGTGATAATGTCATAGTTGTAAACTTGATATATCACTAATATTTACCTAAAGAAAAAATTGCAGAAGTTTGAGAACTCCAATGTTTTATAAGAAAATACTGCTTCTGTATCCGATTAGATGCGTAATCTCCTTAATGTTGTGTGAATTTTATTTGCAGACTGGCAGAGCAGAATAGATCTATCGGTTAATGAATCAACAGAACCGGAAACTGGAGATGACATCATTTGGGACGATGGGGGGTATGCCCTGCTTGCATCCGCAGACGTGGATGAGACAGACCACCGGGTCTCGTTCAATTATTGGCCTGATAGCGGGAAAGGTGTTCCTTACTTCATACACCCAGCTTTTGGTAAATCTGCACGAAAGATACAGGCAAATTGCAGATTAACTTCATCGTACCATCACTATCACATATGCAATTTAAGATTCGGCGTAAAAAATGCGGCTTCTGTTTGTACGATATCGTCAAACGCGGTTGATATTGTGCCAGTGCCAACGGTTATGTGTGCAAAGTTAATTTAATTTTATTGAATACATTCAGGTCATTGTACTTCAGTAACTCAGTTTATCACTTTATTTCTAGGTGACGCGGATCGTCGAAAAATTCTGAATGCCTTGCGAACCATAGAGCGCCGAGTAGATAATTGTGTACAATTCAAAGTATGTGCAAATGAAGAGGAGCACATTTCAATCGTGCCATATGGACGAGGGTAACTAGTAACTACAGTATACCGTACACCGTTGTATGTTTTGGCAGCAGGTTGAACTACATATACTAGTATTACAGCAGGGATGCTTGTAACTATTACACTGCCAACAGTTTATCACGAATTTTGGGCAAATATGAAACGAAACGTTGTTTGTGTATCATCAGTGTATGTACAATACATACTACCAGAAATATTATTAAACTGACCTTAATATTACTGTTAGTTTAGTACTATTATGATGCTACATATTGATTGCTTACTTAGAATACGGATAGCAGAACCAAGTATTGCGTTCGCACACCTTATATCGATATCCATTTCTACAATTCTAGTTGCCTGTCTCACGTGGGACGGACTCCTCGCCGCGTTACCGAAGTCCGACTCAGCAGGAACTGCATGAAAGAAGGCATTATTATACACGAACTCTTACATGCCCTCGGATTCTACCACGAGCAAAACCGGCCAGATCGGGATGAGTTTGTGCAGGTGTATCCTGAGAACATACAACCAGAAATGTACGACACGAACTACCGCATCTTGCGTAGTATGCCCACACATGGCATTCCGTACGACTACGAATCCATCCTGCACTATGCAGCCTGGGACTTCGCCATCAAACGCGATAAGCCAGCCATAATTCCCAAGATCCGCACCTCAGTGAGAATGGGTCAGCGCAAATGGATGAGTCCGTTGGATGTCGTGAGACTGCAGAAAGCCTATGGATGTCTCGATGATAACTTTGAAAAAATAACGCAAAGCCCTGTGGGTGCGTCCACAACCGTAACCACAGCGCCTTCCGCTCTCAACACGAGCATATCGAGTCAGAACCTTGCTGCCTTTTTTGCCGAACAGAGAACATGTATGTTTAGCGAAAATAAATGACTAATTTCTGAATGATGTTATTCAGCCCTAAATTCCCAATCATGTAGAAAACGGTTGCAGAAAAAGGTAAATTTCACTGATACTTTGTATTTCAGTGAGGACCAACATGGCATGCTCGGACCATCTGAAATGCGGCTGTTTTCATGGCTGGTGCTGGGCGTACGCTTACTGGGAAGCGATGAAAATCGGAGACCCTTGGTGCTGGACACAGCCGGTGGGTGTTCCAGGCGGGCTAAAATCCTTTGCATCGTGCGGCGCTGATAACGATTGCAACATCACGATGACGTGCGGCGACAACATCACATACACCGGCAGCGGCCCACCAGAAGTCCGCCCAGCTTTCGCAGACGTCACAGCGGGGCCAACGTCACAATGCAAGACAAATCTCCAATACTGCGGGCAGCTTTTACGTTTTTTAGGTAGAAACCCTTACATATACCGTATACGCGCGTGCAGCGTTACTACAGATAGTTGATCTGCACTAACATAAACGTTTCCGCGCATACTATAAACTAAAGCGTGCATAATGTTTCAGCGTTTCACCACTTTATTAATGCTTTACAGGCTATAGTGTCGGAGAGGGTGAATATTTGTCAAATATGCTATTTAAGTGCAAAGATGGCCGTAATGTGGAACCGATTTCAAACTGTAAAAAATGCCGCGACGGAGGTGCGGATAAGAACGACCACTGCGAGCCCTGAGGTAATGCAGGTAGGGTAAATAACCGTTTGCACAAATTGCACTTTTTAGATGACTGTTCAGCGTTGAATCTTTGTTATCTCTATATGTTCGCTGCTGCGTTCATTTCAGTGGCGCCTAAATCCGAGCATTCAATCTCAAAGCCAATTGTTTGGGCCGCAACTAGGCTTCCGAAGGTTGCGGACCCGATTTTTTTTTAGTGTGACGATGTCGACGATTTTCCAGTACTGCTGAACGCCGAATGGTGACCTGTGCCACGAAATGTGCAATGTGCGCTACATAAATATTATTGGCGTTATTATGGTTTTCTGTGTTTTAATGCGCCTTTTATCATCTGCACTGCGCTTATTACAGCATGTTGATTACATGCATGTTGATTATTACAGCATGTTGATTGTATATCGCATCGGAATAAAGTTCAATAAATATAGTTAAAAAAACCAGGATGGTATAGTTTTTTTGTTAAAATATTGCAAACTAGAATTCGGGAGACCAAGGAATTCGACCACAAAACACTATAACGCGGGGTCGTATGGAACGCCGCGCCTATCCTCGACAGAACAACCCGGAAACGTCGACTTCATTGGCGATGTTGCCGCCACACAAAAAACCACCAACTGAGGAAAGCGGAATCTGCAGCCAGTGAAACTGTGGTGCAGATCCGTCAAAACAGCGAGGAAATGTACGGGGTGGAGATTCCCAGAAATAGCAATAGCAAGTTTGGAGGGCGGAGAGTCCCGCTCTGACAACACGGTCCTTATTTTGCTGTTTGCATGGGAGATTTTTCTGAAAATTCTAAAACAAGGGCCTGAAGTTTTTCTTGCAGCAGTAACCACGATGCAATCCTCCCCGTCACAACACTCTTCTTGCATAATGTTGAATAGGTATCCAGAGCGTCTTTCATTAATTCGATCGCTAAAGGAACAGCATCCAGGAGCAGCGGTAATAGCCGCTTTTTTTGTTCCTTATTTCCTCCAATAAATTCCGTTCCCCAATTTAATACACACGCTGACGCTTCGCGAAGAAACTGCGCCCGATAGAAGCTGTATTTAGGAGACACGTTCCTACACAAATTCAAAGCAGAAATTATAATTATGGAATTTGCAAACCGTTTTCCTCATCAACTTACCGGACACAGACGATCATATCACGATACAGTTCCCATGCTTCCTGGTACCGCCCCGATTCGCTGCACGTTCGAGCCACATCCCAACCCAGAACGAAGCGCAGCTGCGCTTCCGGCTGCAGAATATCAGCCTTCTCCAGTTCCTTCCACAGTGGAAATTTCTTCACCATAATCGCCTGGCTGTCCCGTGCGTTCCACATGTCAAGGTGATTGGCGAAGTCATTTTCGTGATTTTGTAAAAACTTTTGAGTTTACGGAGATTAACTTCGTTGACAGCACAACACTGTGCACAGGGCAGCAGCGCGCGGTGATCGCTTGGTATGCGTTCTGTACAGCCTTTTGTGGCGCATTTCAGCGGATTTATGATGGCTTCCTGCAGCATAAAAAATTTTAGAAAATATTAATTTATCTAATCCACCATGCTTAGAGACGCACAAACACTTTACTATGAATAAGTATAATAATGCGCTTACGTATGCATCCGAACATTTACGACACGTGCACTCTACGTCGCCGTACAGTCTATCTGCGTAAATTTTATTCCGTTCTTTCACTGGCCATCGGAAGGGGAAGTCTTTCAGATCGTACAAAAGCACCTGCACAGAAGAACAAAAATACCGGCATTCACAGCAGTTGTACAACAAACGATGCTGCTATAGTGCCGCAACATCTTAACTCAAGAAATGCGAAATCATGGCATAAAAGATAACTTTTGGTTGTGAATATTAAAATGCAAGGTCACCACTGCAGATACGAATGCGCACATCAGGATCGAAAAAACATCGGTTTACGAGCTTGATGTACTAGTATTTCATTAAATCGTCTCGTACGTAACAAAGAGAGAACAGAGACTAAAGTTAAAGATTAGAATGAGCATGACCAGCTTCAGAACAGATTGCCGAACATGGTGAATCGATTAACACAATACTTCTTCCGCTTGAATACAAACAACGCCAAGTTCAGTAAATAAGTACTTTGTCGGTCATGTCAAACTGCCGTTTTTACTTACGTCTTGTAGCCCGCTGTAATCCGGAATGTCATCCAGAGCGTGCAGCAAAAGCGTCCGTCCATCGAACGAAACCAGGGCATTCTGATCGGAGCATGCTTCGGGCATCGAGCCACTGGGGGCATCCGGAAAAAGACCCATTCCAAAGAAAAGAGGACGATCTCCATCGTATTCATAAATAAGATGATTATGTAATTCAATTCTCTTTATGATGTCCGCAATATCGGAATCTGACAGCAGAGAGTGGCCACCGACCGCCGTGGGAAACGCGGCTTCCAGTAAACCTTCAAACAATTTTTCTCTAACCAACTCCAGTTTTCTGTAAAAACAAACGCGATGTTTGAACAAATTCACAAGACAAGCGCAAGCAGTGTTAAACCAACTGTCGTGTTATTGAGTTAACGCTCGGAAAAATCTTGAGAATTTGCTGTGCTGGCATTTGTTTCTCACTTTCGGAGACTGTGTCTTTGGACATATTCTGTAAACACATATGAGTACAGTTACTAACAAAATTAACAATTGGGACAATAACGCGTTGTCTGCAAGCCAAGTTTCTTACAATAATACTAAACATACTTACAAAAATTTTGTTCATAATCTTGAGAAGAATGATTGAATTGGTGGAAAATATTCGAGAGGTGTTGCCCTGCATGTCGCAAGCTAAGCGCATCATCCTCACCATCCGATTTACATCATGTTGTGATTCTGTTTCCTGTCTGTAGTTTTTTATACGCTTCAACAAGGAACATTCGGATTTGTGCTCTTTCTTCCAGTCAGCGCGCTAACGAAACATCCATAAGGCATAAGGTATAAGAAACAAAACGAGCACGCAGTCTTTCTAAAATAAGTAAACAGTCAAACAAAAAATTAAGACAGAATCTGCCAACTGTTGTTGGTTGGCTGACAGACTCAGCCGCTGACTCATTTTAAAAGCCTGTATTGCTTCGTACCTGGCAATTCTCATTACAGTACCGATACAACCGGCATCCTTGGCAGGACCGCAGTTTTGCAGATTCGCGGAAGCAACACGCACAACGTGTTTCATGATCGTGCCACTCGAATGACCAGACCCACGCTTCGCATGACGTGATTTTCTGCCCAGCAGGAATTAGTCTACCCCTCATCATTGCACTTTGAATTCAACGGTTATCAGTTGATGCGAAACTATCGATCCAGATGGGACTTTCTCCACGCCCAAATGTCACCGCAAATACAAACTTTAAATGTCCAAGATCCTAGGCAATTTATCCTATATGTAACTGGAACGGCACAAAGTTGTAGCCACACGATCAAGCAGTGTAGACAGTGCTTTGGCAGAGAGTGTCTGCGTATTACCGGCAGAGTCTCGTATTCAAGCAGGTCAAACTGTCTGTTGGTGAGTACTTGTGAGTTTTGTTTGTCGCAAATACTGACACATCACGATTATATTATACGGTGTCCACTACAAAAAAAGCATGCGTAATCAATAACTTCAGTACTTTTAGTTTTGCTAATACCAGAAAATGGAGGCACTTCATAAAGGAGACCAGCTAGTCACGCTAACTACATTCCAGCTCAGGGTAGGTCGTGCCTGTTTTAAGAGGGTTTGCTCACCAAAGCGAGCTTAAATTAGGAGCTTTATGAATAGTATTAAATACTAAATACAAATTACAAGGGTTTTTAAAAAAAATAAAGCTGCAAGCCTGCAGATATTACTATGCAGTGGCTAAGTGCAGAATCGGTCTCGTATTTGCAATCTGATATACTGCGGCCTCGCTTGTGGATTATATAGAAGTACTGGTGATAGGCTGGTAGCGGCAAGAAGTTTCATTGTTTTGATGGTTAAAAATCAGTGAACCCGAGACCTGTTGTTATCTGTACATTACCTGTTGCAAGCAAACACTCAAGCACTTTTACAAAATGATGGAAGCAGTTCACGCAATGCCGTCTCGTTTGTCAACAATTTTGAAATACCGCTGTGCGGATAAAATTGAGCTGTAGCAACTTTAGAAAAGGAAATCACGTTTAGTACTAACAGGAAAGCAGTGTTCCAAGCGGTCGGCTTATTATGTCAAGAATTTTAAAAATACGAGTACATTACCAGCGTCATATTATTTTCTGCACAAGTAATGAGGTAGTATGGCGTTCCACAGCCCCACAGCATCGGGCGTTAATTTAATACGCCAGTTTTGGTAGAACGTCTGTTATCAGTTTAACTATACAGTGAAGCTACTCCAAAGTAAGCGAAAACAGCAATACAGTTAACCGCGAAAAAGGCCGTGATGCATTCGCCTGCTCAGTAATTCCAACGACATACAGCCGCTACCACACCCCTTCTAGTAGAGTAGATCATGGGAACGCCTGCAATAAAACCGACACATCGTTTCCGGCTTCAAAGAACCTGTGGATCATACTGAAAGCAAATATTAGAGTAGTTCTTTATTAATAACGACTACCCTTTCGAACCTGGGTGATGTTTGTGCGCTCTTTCACTGATTCCCCGCTTATACCAGCCAACTCCGCAAATACGATACTACAGATAATAAAGTGCTTATCAAAGCGGCACATGCCTATTATAGTAATTATATATTAGAAAACTCGAAGCGTCGCAACACCTGGATGTATCCAGAAAACATACAGTACGTTAAAACTTGGCCACCGCTACTAGCATGGGTGTTAAGTCCAGAAAGAAATCGAACGGTCACAAGAAATCGACGGGGAACAGGGAATTTTCGCGTTAAATTAAAAATTTGGATTATTTTTACTTATAGTAATAAAGGGGACAGTGTGGCACAGTAACGTACGTGTACGTCGATAATATTCTTTTAATAAAGGGTTGGACAATCAGCTGTTCCTTTGAGCCGCAAAACTTTTATTTTATTGAGCCGCCTCACTGGCTTTGGCCAGCAGGAAGATACCATTTATACCGACTTGCTCACACCTCTGTGACTCCTTCAAAGCTTGCAGTTAGTTAAGCAGGTAGCACAGTAATGCTTCTTCATTCAGGCCTGTTTCACCAACTTCTAGTTTTAGCCAAACCGCAAAGGAGTCCCGCTTTTTTGCTTTGCTTATTTTTTCTGTAGGAGTGTTTCTTAATTCTTAATACTTCTGTTTCTTAAACTAAAACGCCAGGTTTAATTTGAATACGTAGCACAACGAACTACGTAAAGGAAACTTTTGCTAAACGGTACGTTGATCAACGATAACAGAATCGAAAGGATAATCTCTTCTAAAATCATCTAAAATGAGGTCATAGTACAGTACACTAGCTTTATAAAATGAAAGGAGTGGTACGGTGCAAGTTGTATCATAATCTGTACACGGAAAGTACGATATAAAATAAGCATCGGACCTACGTAAGTACTATTTTTCTAACGCCACATGATTAGGTATTTTGTGCGTATACTCGTACTGTATTTACAGTTAGTACTGTATTTACAGTTAGCTGGTACTGTTACAGTTAGCTGGTACTGGGACCTACGTAAGTACTATTTTTCTAACGCCACATGATTAGGTATTTTGTGCGTATACTCGTACTGTATTTACAGTTAGCTGGTATAAACAACATGCACCAAAACATGTCGCTAACATCTTTCAGGTTAGTGTTTGTCGACCATATTCAGCCCGGAATGTACAACATGAATTACCGTATCTTGCCCAATATGTCGACACACGGGGTGCAGTACGACTTCGACTCCATTCTGCACTATTCCCCTTTCGAATTCGCCATCAGCCGGAAACGGCCAGCAATGTTGCCGCGATTCGGGAAAGACAAGATGATTGGTCAGCGCAGACGGCTGAGTAGCCAGGATGAGACCAAAATCAAGAAAGCGTACGGCTGCATCGATGAAAACTTTGAGAAAGTGCCGCAGACGCCTGCAGTGTGCAGGGACAGTGCAGGTGCAGTGTCCGTTGATGTAGATATTTGATCTGCTAAACATTGTAGCTTCAATAAATTGTACGTTGCAAAAACTAAGGGCATCAGCAAGGACCCGCGTTCTTGCTCAAGCGGATTATTATTCTTACTCAAGCGGATTATAATTGCAGGAAACGAAGCCAGTTCGTTTAGGATTACTGCTACTTCGGATCGCAGTACTACGACAATGAAGAGTAGCACGAGAAAACGTACTACAACCACAGAATCGCCTCCAAACTTAGGTACTCGCACGATTCTCCGTTTTACATACTAAAATCCTTGCAGTTTTTGGTTGTCAGCGCAACACAGTTAAGGAGCCTTTTTGGCGTTGAAATAGCTACTACAGAGAAATTTCGTTGTCTCGCTGCCGCTTACGCAAACTGGATCTAAGAACAGGCAAAGAAAAGATCATTAATGTGGACTTCCTGCCTAGGTTATGCGCCAGCCAGTTTACAAAGCAGCGGAAACATTTTTAACGGACCGGTTCGCGGTGTTGGTAAGCGAGAATGTATATGAAAAATTCCTACGGTTGTCTCAAAAATGTCTTTGTTTAGATGTGTCATGCACAGTCTTGTGTACCACCTGGTGGCTGTGTACTATCGCCAACATTGAAAACCCACGGACATGCGGAGGTCAGCCACCTCGTTGCAACTGCAATGAATTTGCTTTCGGCTGAAACACCTTGCCTTGGGAGGAGAATGCGCGTACGGAGCAAACCGATTTTATGCCTTATGGTGCCATTAAGAAGCAACAAAAACGGAATTACGTACACTCATTCGCTTGGGGAATCCGTAAACGTAAGCGTAAATACATAGACGTGGGAAACAGTAGATTTTCTTTCTCGGTTTTATTTGATTACATGTAGAGGGTGTTCGTTAATTGTTGTGAGTTACGATTGCGTATGTTTTGCAAACTGATTGTATGTAGAAGTTTCTTTTACAGTTTTATCGTAATACGCAATACGGTAGTGCTTTGCTGTGTGAGTAAGGACGCTAAACAGTTAAATTTAAGATTTCACAGTCTTAATAGTAAGTACTACAGATCTGTACAAATCATGGATTAAATTCAGTACTTGCGACTATGGACACGCGTACCAGCAAGGTTTCTGTTTCTTAAACTGCAACATGTTTCTTGCAGTGCTTATGTAGGCTTGCTGTAAATAGCGAGTATTTTTATTTTAAATAATGTTTGGTAACTAGGCCATTATTGTTTTCGGTCGTAAGATACCACATAAACGTTTAATTAATTTTGTTGGTCGTTTTACACGCTTGCGTTAACTTCATAATAGGAGTGGTCTATAATGGCATGTAACCATTTCTTTAGTATGAAAATCGTATTGTTTGGACGCGAATGCGATTGTTATTGTTATCACCAGTATCTTTAAACACTGCTGTAGAAGAATGTAGCCCGAGAAACTTTTCTCGTTTTTGTTCGCCATTAACATATCAGTGATCGCCAAAGACATGCTCTTTAGTTTAATAGAATACCTAAACTTACATCGGGAGGCATAGAGTTTCGGTTAAAAATCTCTAAAGTCTTCTACTGTAGTAATAAGATTGTTCCTTTTGGCAGAGGTTCTGGTCAGCAGACTCAGCATCAATCGGTATATTATGTCGGTTGGATGGGGTGGCTTGAATTAAGGTGCCGCAATTGAGGGCGTTCCAGTTTCAGTTTAAGCTACACATAAACGTAAAAGAAACATACTTGTACTTATAACGAAATGCGACAGATTATTCACTGCATCACCTACCGTATCGTTAGCCGGACCATCGTCTAGGGTTTGTCCGGGTTGTCCGATGTTCTGGTCGGTCGATCTTTGTCTCCCCTGATTTTTGTGTGGTACGTCCGGAAGCGTAGTGCATGTATCATGAGCGGGCGCACTTACATTACTCGGTCCAAAATTGTTTCGTGCAATTACTCGGAACGTGTAGTTCATACCTCTGCAAAACATTTAAAGGTTTTCCTGGAAATACCCCGCTAAATACTACGCAAATCGATTCTATCATGCAGCATACTGCGAACAACGCTGTTGCTAGAAACCAACTCAAATTATTTTTCTTTCTACAATGTACAAATTATTTTTTTTCTCGTACGAGCGCTGTTTGGCAAAACGATGCAAATCGGCCAGCCGGTCCGCGGTGCAAAAATTTGAAAATCATGTAAATCAAGTCAAACTGTGCAACAGGAACGCAGCCATTGCGCATCGCATCATCTGCTGGACTGAGTGCGAAAAGAGTAACGCTTGCATGCGCAGCCAGGCTTAAGACGGATCTTGTGCTTCGTGCAGTACTGTACTTGTACATTATACGCACTTCGTCCTGTACATTATTACTGTATTATACAAATGTTAAATCTCAAGGTCGCTACTGCAGCAATCGACGGCTCGCCGCTACGGCGTACACGTGCCAACCATTTCTAAATACACTTACGTGTGACTGGGGGCCACTGATCTCGATAAATCAGCGGGAGAAATATCACCCTGAAGATACTCATATTTCTGGACACCATCTTGAAACTGAAAGGTCGCGGTGTAACTGATGGTGTATGCAACTATCGGATCACGATTATCCCCATTGGGTTCCCACGACACAGTGGCGCTGCGTTCATGACACTGAACTCGAACGTTTACTGGAGGGTTTGGGACATCCCTAACCAGTTGCTCGACACTAGCTTCCACGTGATCCAAGCGCGTTCGTGCAGTACACGTGTATTTGTTATTGTCCATCTCATTAAGACGGGATATCGTTAGACTGTTGTCGTAATTCTGCACTATTCGTTCGCTGAGTTGGACTGGTTCGCTTCCGTGTTTCCACTCAATTTTCACTTTCAAACTGGGATCACCGCTAGCCGAGCAGTGAAGCGTCACAGATTCGCCGACTTCCAGTATTTTGTCGTCGGGAGGCGTCGTTATAGTAGTTCTTCCTTTAATTTCACCGACAGTCGTTTCAGTATGTATATGTAATATACGAGTAAATACAAATTGAAATGGTCAAGCTTGTTACTTTTAATATCGAGCCAGCCAGAGGCGAACTGGGCTGCATAGCGATTCATCGCTTGGCACGTGTAGTTTCCAGTGTCGGCGATAGTGGTACCATTGATGATTAAATTTCCATCGGTTTCCACCCTATATATACGGAAAACCTCTGAAAAACGCGTACTTCCGTTCAAAACATTTTGTGCGTAATTCATGCCGGGGTGGAGGAAATTCCTCGTCGTATGCATTTCCGTCTAACTTTTATCGCGCGTATAGAAAAGTTTAGATTACTCGAAGATGCACATACGATGAAATTTTATTGTATATCGACAGATCGTCGAGAACCTGTCCATCCTTTATCCATTTGACCATCGGTCGTGGCTTGCCAGAAGCCCGGCATTTAAGGGTGACTTGTACACCTTCAACGGCTTCCGTGAGTGCACCAGGGGGCTCAATTATAGCAGCTTCAAATCCGTCGTTGCTATCTACGAGTGCATGTCTTTTCACCAGATTTGATCTTCCTCTCTGCGCTTTTCATTACTGAGCCGTGTTTGCAAAGAAGAGTGCAAGAAGCATTCTACTTATCTCACGGTGTCTGTATCATTCTGTAGTTTCATAATTGACGCCAATTAATACTTATAGTTATACGTACTTGATGATGGGGAATGCAATTTATAGCTTTCGCTAAAAGCTGAACTAATGCAACATAAATTTCAAATTTCCGCCAACGTATGGCTTACCTGAGGCACCTCCTGACGTCGAGTGCAAGCCGCTGATTATGGAAAGCCTAGAATATAGGCAACAAAAGAAAAATAGTGATACGAGTACTGAAGTAATTGCGCCATCTCAAGTACTAAAACAGATGCGGCTTGGATTGAGCTGAACTTCTTTTTTTAGAAGCAATCTTGTATCGGACCGAGACAAAAAATTGCAAAACTGCCACTACGCAGTTTTGTAACTTGAGTAGTTGTTTCGAATATATAGGCCCTGCTGTGGAGCTTAAGCGTTGACATTTAGGAGTACGCTATTTCTGATTTCCGGTAGCGATTGCTCGCTCGGTGGCATGATAAAAAATTTCGATAACCTCCGCAGCAGTCTCAGGATAATTATCTGCTAGCCACGGTCAGAACGGTGCATTTTGGTAGCTGTACGCAAGTTATGCAGCACCGTCTGTGCGTAAACTTATAGTGGTTTCAGCAAGTGCCGGCTGCTTTTTTCAGTTTTATGTTGCATCTCTAGCATAGCACCATGCAGTGATTTGGTTAATTCATGTTTATAACCGTGAGAAAACCCAACGTTTGAACGAGTTGCTTAAGCGAGCAGTGTACGATTTTATTAATTTTACAACAACCACAACTAACTAACAAGATGGGTACGTAACTCATCAAAAACCTTGACGAAAAATACTGTTCAGTGTTCACACATCAACAAGTAAGCGCTCGAAATGTCCGTCTCCCATTAGATCGCACTACGTGTACAGCCAGGAGTAAAATTAATAATGGCTGTTCATTATGGTACTTATACAGTGCTGGAGGGAGTTGGATACGCCTATGAATATTTCCGTTGGAATCCCATTAAACAATTGCGGTGAAATAATGCAAAAGGTGCCATAAATAAATTTTTCGTAGAGGGAAGCAAGCTGCGCCTGGATGCTATCGATGCTAGCAGGATGTTACCGATTGAATTAAACTTACAGTGCAAAATACAGCATTAATACAGCAGTCATTTATCCCGCACATAAGGCATTTGCCATAATATTTAATAAACGCATAAACTAATGCGATCGGCTGGCTGTATTCATAGTAGCAGGTGTATTAGCCTCTGCTGATCGACGAGCGCCCTGAGTTTGACAGCTTTTCTGCCATCGAAAGAGATTAGTAATCACGTCGCGCAGATCCTTTACGCTTACGAAAAGCATAATAGCATCAAGAGCCACTTCCGTCTCGACCATCCAGTGTGCATACTGGTAAAATTCATCCGGGAAAGTAAAACCTCCAAAATCCGCTGCTAAGTACATAATTAGCGACGGTACCCAGCAGACAAACACGGTGATGGTCAGCATTGTTAAAACCAGAAAAGCTGTATAGTTTTCCTTTCGAAAAGCACGTATACCATGATTATCGCTGGCTTCGAATCGGTGAAACTCAATAGGTCGTGAGCGGCGCCACTTGGTTGTTTTCCACAACAGGTACGGATACGCCCCTGTAATAATCGAAACGGGAAACGCGAAAGTGACGACATCGAGTGCCTGTGCATACGCTACTACCACGGAAGCACTGAGATTCCACATGCATCCGTTATCTTCACCAGAAAGACGGTACCATAGCGCATGCAAGACATTCAGTGGAAGGCTAATCATATGCACGATAATCCACATTACGATGCAGATGATAACGGCCACATGAGAAGAATGATGCAGACGATAATACTGGGGAAAGGTCACCGCCACAATACGATTGCAAGTGATCAAAACTTGTGCATAAGCCATACACGTCGGAGTGATACCATTGGCGTAGAGATAAACGTCACAGACTACAGTGCCATCCCACCAGTTCGGCTTCATCCAGACAATAACGTCATAGTATTCCATAAGAATTAGGTAGAGAATGTTGCAAATCAGCAAGTTGATGAGGTAGGTATTAAAGGAAGTATGGCGCGTTGTTTTAGTAATTAGCAGGCCACAAGCGGAAGCATTTAATGCGAACGTGCAGATGCTGGTAAACACTTTGAAAGCAGCCAGAAAGTTCCATGGAATGCCGATCAGGTTATTGTCATACTTAGCACCAGCGGCTGTTGCGTTAGTGGAGTTGGTTGTATTACTGACGAATTCTGACATTATAGCCTAAATATTCACCACAAAATAAGTGTGATCCTTGGGCTGATTCCGACAAAAATGTGCTGATATTAAGCCAAAGCAAAACAAATGCGTAGCTGGAAATATTTCACTCTATTTCGCCGTTTTTGCCTTGCGGACCATACATATCTTCAAGGGCACACATTTTTCGGTTTCGCTTCCCGATTTGCATTTTCACAGTCCGCCGGACTGCAGCTTAGAACATCTGGTGGCAACCAACCATAAACCCTCTTAAGTGCCGCATAAATCGCTACTTCTTGCATATTTCGCA